AAACGGGAGTTCAGTACTTATCCATTTACCTAGATAGCAATCCCAAACAGTAGGCTGTCTCCAAAGGCAAGTACACTCCAGAAAGGGGACCTCCTTGCCCTTGCCCTTTGAATCTCTTGACTGCAATCTCTTCATCCCCAAGTCGTTTCACCACAAGCTCCCTTTCTCAAGACTCACTTTCAAGTCTCTTATTTTTAATTTTATTTTTTTTTTAAGAGACAGGTTCGTGTCGCCCATACTGCAGTGTAGTGGCACCATCACAGTTCACTGCACCCTTCAATTTTGGGCTGAAGCCATCCTCCCTGCCCAGCCTCCCAAGGTGGTGGGATTACAGGCGTGAGCCCATGCCTGGCGTCACTTTCATACTTTCAAATAGAAATAAATTACTTGGCAGAAAACAGACTTTTCACTGATAGCTAATGATACTCAGCTAGCATTCTTTCCCTGCCTTTTTTTTTTTTTTTTTTTTTTGAGATGGAATCTCGCTCCGTTGCCCAGGCTGGAGTACAGTGGCCGGATCTCAGCTCACTGCAAGCTCCGCCTCCCAGGTTCATGCCATTCTCCTGCCTCAGCCTCCCGGTAGCTGGGACTACAGGCGCCCGCCACCTCGCTCTTCCTCTCTGGCTAGTTTTTTTGTATTTTTAGTAGAGACGGGTTTCACCGTGTTAGCCAGGATGGTCTCAATCTCCTGACCTCGTGATCCGCCCGCCTCGACCTCCCAAAGTGCTGGGATTACAGGCTTGACACCGCTACCGTCCTTCCCCTGTCTTTGATTCAGCAGTAAAGACTGAGCAGCTCATTGCTTCCAATTTTTGTTCACTTGTGCTATTGTGATCCTAGTTTCCTAAGGGCTTAAAGCCCTAAAACCTTTTTTTGCATTTCAGGAATTCTGACTGGTGGTTTTCTTCACTTATTTGGGATTTTTTTGATATTTGCTGCTTACGGCCGGCAGCCCTCTTATAAAGTATCTCTTGTATTTTGCAGTTGCATCCTTAATGTCCGGTCAAGGAGTGACACCAATGGGTCTTGTAAGTAGAGTCCACTCAAAGCGGGAATATTTTGAAGTGTCTTTGTAGAGATGACTCAGCCAGATTTGGGATGTCTGGCCTAAGTTGGTTCTGAAGTTTATCACCCCAGGGCTCTCTTAGGTTGGTGAATGAAATTTCATCGGGTCAGAGTGGAGGAGTGTTCTGCTTCTTTTCCAACTTACTTCCCTTCCTTCTTTTTTTTTTTTTTGGCTCTGGGTTTCCTGTGTATTTTCTTTCTATCTTTCATGGAGATGTAAATTTAAGCAGCTTCTAATTTATAGACTTTGGTTTTAGGGACTAAGATGTAGGAAACCAGATTTTATCATGCTTCGGATGTTTTCTAATGCCTCTTTCTGATTTAGCTGTGACTCAGAAGAGCTCTGAAGAGACAGCGAGGAGTAGAAGAACTAACGAAACTTGATTTTTTTTTTAAATTAAGGGGGAAAATCCCATTCCCTGTCTAAGGAAATTTAAGAGTGAACTTCACATTTCTCTGTGGACAGTCTGTGGTTCTCAGCAGGATCATGATGGCTGTTTGACATCACAGCCAGGTTCAAAACATTAGATTCCTTATCCCTGACCCATTTCTAACTGGTCAGTTTCTTCTTTGAGGTATCTCTGTGAACTATGCCTTAACATCCAAGCTCTACTAGTCTAAGCCCTTATTAGTGTTTACTCCTTTTTATTTTTATTTTTACGTAAGTTTATTTTTGTTTTGTTGAGACTGTGTAGTCTTGCTCTGTTGCCCAGGCTGGAGTACAGTGGCACGATCTCGGCTCACTGCCACCTCCGCCTCCCGGATTCAAGTGATTCTTCTGCCTCAGCCTCCAGAGTAGTTGGATTATAGTAGCTGATTATACTACCATGCCCAGCTAATTTTACATTTTTAGTAGAGATGGGGTTCTCTACCATCTTGGCTGTGTGGTGGTCTTGAACTCCTGACCTCAAGTGATCCACCCACATCGGCCTCCCAAAATGCTGGGATTACAGGTGTGAGCCACCGCGCCTGGCCGAAGTCTAACTTTTAATATGTAGAATCTGGACTTCCTTATAGCTATTAGATCCCCTCCTCTTAGCATTTTGATATCCTCTGTGGACTATGTCACAATAACTAGTAACAAGATGACGTATGATGTAGCCAGGCGCCACATCGGAGGAGGGCAGGGGTCACTGCGGTGTGACTCTTCCTGGGCTACAGTTTGGATCTGGCTGACAGTGATTCAGTCAAGTTGCTGTCTGGTGAGCTGAAGGGTTCTGAGCAGGAAGTGCTTGGCTTCACTCTCAGGCAGTGCCGATGGCTGTCTGGTAAGCGATGGTGAGGCAAAAGCAGCCTGCCACGGAGCAGTGGAGAGTGAATGCTGGGCTCCCTGGTAGATGAGGTGAGAAGCAAGAGGCCCCAGCAATGTGGTTCACTGCAGGGAGCAGTGGCAGCTTAGAAACCATCCATTCACTGGCTCTCATGAAACGGAGTTCAGTACTTATCCATTTACTCAGATAGCAATCCCAAACAGTAGGCTGTCTCCAAGAAGTAAACCTGAAAAGGGACCTCCCCTTGCCCTTTTGCCCTTGAATTTTGATTGCAACTTCCTCTTCCTCAAGTCGTTTCCACTACGTCCTTTTTCTCAAGACTCACTTCTGTCTTTATTTTTATTTTTATTTTGTGAGACAGGGTCATGCTGTGTTGCCCACATTGTGCGCAGTGGCACCATCATAGCTCACTGCAACCTTGAATTCCTGGACTCAAGTGATCCTCCCCCCTCAGCCTTCCAAGTTGGTGGGATTACAGGCGTGAGCCTTTATGCCTGGTGTCGCTTTCTATACTTAAAGGGAGATAAATTACTTGGCAGAAAACAGGTTTTGCACTGATAGCACGATACTCAGCCAAATTCTTCCCCTGTTTTTGATTCAGTAAAGACTGAGCAGCCATTGCTTCCAATTTTTGTTCACTTGTATATTGTGATCTTAGTTTCCTAAGGGGTTAAAACTCTAAAACCTTTTTGCATTTCAGGAATTCTGATTGGCTTGTTTCATTCACTTATTTGGGGATTTTTGATATTTGGTTATTATGCTGTCGGTAGGGCCTCCTTTTAAAGTATCTCTGTATTTTGCAGCATCCTTTTTTAATGTTCAGTCAAGCAGTGATGACACCAATGGGTCTTGTAAGTAGAGTCCACTCAAAGCAGGAACATTTTGAAGTGTCTTTGTAGAGATGACTCAGCTGTGATTTGGGATGTCTGGCCTAAGTTGAATTTCAAGTTTATCACCTCTAGGCTCTCTTTAGGTTGGTGAAATGAAATTTCCTTACTGTCAGGATTATTGAGGTTCTCTCTCTCTCTCCTTTTCCAACTTACTTCCCTTCCTCTTTTTTTTTTTTTTGGCTCTGGGTTTTTACTTTTTCTTTCCTTTCTATCTTTCATGTGAGATGTAAATTTGGCAGCTTCTCTAATTTATAGACTTTCAGTTTTAGGAGTTCAAGATGTAGAATCAGATTTTATCATGCTTCGGATGTTTTCTTCATGTTCTCTTTCTCTGATTTAGCTGAAATTGGTAAAGAGCCTCTGAAGAGACAGGCAGGTGAGTAGAAGAATTAATGAAACTTGATTTTTTTTTTTTTTTTTTTAAATTAAGGGGGAAAATCCTATTCTCTGCTCCATGAAATTTAAGAGTGAATCTCAAGATTTCCTCTGTGGAGGTCTTGTGTTCTCAGCAGGATCATGATGGCTTGTTTGACATCACAGCCAGGTTCAAAACATTAGATTCCTTATCCCTGATCCATTATCTAAACTGGTCTGCTTTGAGGTATCTCTGTGAATCCAGTGTGAACTATGCCTTAACATCCAGGCTCTACTAGTCTAAGCCCTTATCAGTGTTTACTCTTTTTATTTTTAGATTCGTTAATTTTTTGTTTTGTTTTGTTTTGAGACTGAGTCTTGCTTGACTAGGTTCGAGCGCAGTGGTGCAATCTCGGCTCACTGCAGCCTCCACCTCCTGAGTTCAGGTGATTCTTCTCCTCAGCCTCCCAAGTAGCTGGGATTACAGGCACACGTCACCACGCCCAGCTAATTTTTGTGTTTTTAGTAGAGATGGGGTTTCACCATGTTGTTCACGCTTGTCTTGAACTCCTGACCTCAAGCGATCTACCTGCCTTGGCCTCCCAAAGTGCTGGGATTACAGGTGTGAGCCACTGTGCCCAGCTTGTTTCTTCTTTTTAAGTGGCATCCTCACCTTGATCTCTTACTTCTGATCCAGTCTGTGTACCACTTGCAGCTGGATCTCCTGAGGCACTGCTTTGATCATATCAATCCCCAATTCAAATAGCTCATAATAGAAAAATCAAGCTCTTGACCCCAATATTTAATGCCTTCTGTGATCTGGCCATAACCTCTCTTTCAGCCTCATCTGCTACTGTTCCTATTAATGAATCCTCTGCTCTAGCCAGATCTTGATGGAGGGGTGTTTCCCAGGTGCCAAACTGTAGGGGGGTGCTGAAAAAAATTGCTGGAGTAAATATGAAGTATGGTGCTACATAACTGTTTTCCACATTGACTCCTTGAATTACTGTACAAATGCGAACTGGTCATTCTTGTTCTCCCCATCAACCCAAATAGTGCTGTCAAGTGGGAAAATTTTTGTTCTGGCTATCTCTGATTTATCTCTGTTGAGTGTTTTTACAACATATAAGCCACCAACTCCTGACACCAATGTGTGAAATGTCATGTAAAGTCTGCAGTTGCAGGCCGGGCACGGTGGCTTATGCCTGTAATGCCAGCACTTTGGGAAGCCAAGGTGGGCGGATTGCTTGAGATCAGGAGTTCGAGACCAGCCTGGCCAACATGGTGAAACCCTATCTTTACTAAAAATACAAAAATTAGCAGGGTGTGGTGGTGGCATGTGCCTCTCATTCCAGCTACTCAGGAGGCTGAGGCACAACAGTCACTTGAACCTGGAGGGGGAGGTTGCAGGGAGCCATGATTGCGCCACTGCGCCCCAGCCTGGGTGAGAGTGAGACTGTCTCAATAAATACATAAATAAATAAATAAATAAATAAATAAATAAAGTCAGCAGTTGCAATCAACTGAAATTCTAGAGCCAAATTATGCATTGTATAAAACTATTAATCATTGATGATCAGTTTTATTAATTGTATTTCTAAAGTCTGGTTTATTCAGGTATGATTTACATATGGTAAAATTCACCCTTTTTAGGTGTACAGTTTGATGGATTTTGACAAGCATATGCGGTAGTGTAACCATCACCACTGTCAAGATGCAGAGTATTTCCATTGCTGTTATTTATATGTTAAATGTTCTATCATGGCGCCTAAGAAGTATTCCAGTATATAATATTATACATAATGAAGTCGTTTTTGAAATTAAAATGTATCTGAGTTTTAAATAGAAAAAATAGTTTCTTCCAGCCTCTGCTAGATAGATGGTGAACAAATATTTAAAGAAAATCAGTTTTAAGGGGCCTGAAAGGAGTGCCCACAAGTCTTGGTCCAGTCCCAGGTGCCGTCTATATATGGGATACTATAGGAAGAGTAGATTTGGGAGGAAGGTGATGAGTTTGGTTTGGGGCATGCTAGAATCAAGGAGCCTGTAGGCAGGGCTGATATTCAAAACTTTCTAACAACCAACAGAGCACAGGCAGGAATTAGTCAGGGTGGTTGCCTGCTGGTCAGGACAGACACCATCAATAAACAAATCGGTAAGGCTGTACCTCTGCACACTGACTAGATATCAGCTCTGCCCACAGGATATCCAGGTAGGAAGTTGGAACTGTGAAACTAGAAGTCAGAAGAGAAGTTGGGCTCAATATAATGGATTGGACTGGTATAATTAATAATTGATTGCATTGGCATGAGAGGGCTGGGAATAAGTCCTGGGATTGAGTCGAGGAAGGTGAGTGAGGAGGAGTGAATGGAAAGGTGAGATGAGAACCAAAAGACGACTTTGTCCCAGAAATCAAGATAAGAGTTTTAAGGATGGAGTGGTCAATAAGATAGCAAAGGCACATCAACTTGGCAGTGTCAAAGTGGTAAACATGGTGGAAGCAGATGAACATGTGTGTCTGTAGCAGGTAGAGACATGTCCTGTAACAGTGTATTAAATATTTTCTTTCATTATGAAAGTATATTATACTTACTATACACTGTTTGGAGACAGGAAGGTGGCCAATTTCATCCTGCTGGAACTTCTGAGCCAAATACCAGGATCAGCTGAGGATGAGGACCCCAGGGGGTGCTTACCACTGGCACCCTGGGTGGTGCAGGTGTACTGCTGAGTTTGACACCTACCAGAGCAGTCCGTCAGTTCAAGAGGGTAGTGCTGGTTTGGGGCTGCAGAGAGTAGCACTGAACAGAAACTCCCTACTTCGAGGTGCCTCTCTCCATCTGTGGCCCTCTACCCTTCTCAGACAACTGGATCTCAAACTTGATAAAGAAAGATGAGAGCTCCCTGATCAATTTTTCCCCTGTGCCAAAACTATCTGAATACATAAAATAGAACAGAACTCATTTCACTCTCAGTATGTGACAGACTCCTCCTTTTTAGAAGGATGTGAGACAGATGGAAAGATGTAGTAGGAAGATGGAAAAATAGAAAATTAGGTAGAATGGAAGGATTGAGTGGTTCCAAAGGAGAGGAACAGAGTTACTGTGGGAAACAAAAAATTGATGAGTGGTCAAGATCAGAAAAGGTGAGAAATGCCATGAAAAAGAAGACTGTTGCGTTCATACTTCTCTCTTATTTTTCTCCTGTCTCATCCCTCAGCTCTGTGGTAGTGATTGACTCTGATTCTGATGACGATTGTTACACCTATGAGGAGAAGAAAGCTAAGTTATTGGAAATAAACAGCAACGGCAAGTATATATTACTTTATTAGATAAGTAGCTGAAATCCAAAGCCTCATCACACATGGTAGTTTCAGGATCAGAGTCTGCAGACTTTCTATTCAGAATCCTTCAGTAGTGAATGCCACCGTTTCTTTCCTCGTATGTGCTCGATGTGGATATGGCCGGGTTCCCTATAACCCTCTGGTCAATTTCCCAGCAGCAGCAACTGTTGTTGCTGCCTGAGACCTTGGGGGCCCCCTCAGTAGAGTTCTTACCTGCCTAGAGCTACGTCAGTGAAGCGGGGTTGGGGTGGTGGGTCAAGAATTGAGGCTGGGAAGTATGGAGGCTGCTCTGTGACTCCCTCTTCCCCCCTCTATGTGTGGAAATGATGAGGAAGAGAAAAGGAGTAAGAGGCCTGGCTCATTCTTCCTTCCATCTTGAAGGGTGGTGGTTGTGGGCCAGCTGGCAGTGTCGTGTTGAGAACATTCTTACTTTCTCCATTGAGCTGCTGGTCCTTGCTGTTTGCCAGTCCTTCTGTATTTTCTAGAGATTCTTGTGTTTCTTTAGAGCCTGTTTCCCGTGGCAGATCCTTACCTGTTTGGATTCAGAAGCCCCTTTAACCTTCTGGGTAGCTTGGAGCTTAATTCAGAACTTACCTGCTCAATGGGGATGAAACACAGGAAGACTAGAGACTTTTTTTTTTTTTTTTTTTTTGTTTGTGTGACAGTCTCGCTGTGTCGCCCAGCCTCGAGTGCAGTGGCGCGATCTCGGCTCACTGCAAGCTCCGCCTCCCAGATTCACGCCATTCTCCTGCCTCAGCCTCCCGAGTAGCTGGGACTACAGGCGCCCGCCACCATGCCCGGCTAATTTTTTTGTATTTTTTAGTAGAGACGGGGTTTCACTGTGTTAGCCAGGATGGTCTTGATCTCCTGACCTTGTGATCCACCCGCCTCCACCTCCCAAAGTGCTGGGATTACAGGCAAGACTAGAAACTTTTTAAGCATTAGGGACAGTATTTCATTGACCTTTGTTCTCTCAGTACAGATACAGGGCATGATACGTGGGGCACTTAGTTAATGTTTGCTGAGCTGAACTCAACTGAAAATGGGAGATGCTTAAAGCGCCAACTACTACTTTTTTTTTTTGGAGACAGAGTCTCAGTCTGTCCCCCAGGCTAGAGTGTAGTGGCGTGATCTCAGCTCTCTGCAACCTCTGCCTCCTGAGCTCAAGTGATTCTCCTGCCTCAGCCTCCTGAATAGCTGGGATTACAGGCGCCTGCCACCACACCCAGCTAATTTTTTTATTCTTTTTTTTTTTTAATTTTTAGTAGAGATGGGGTTTCACCATGTTGGCCAGGCTGGTCTTAAACTCCTGGCCTCAAGCAATCTGCCTGCCTTGGCCTCCCAAAGTGCTAGGATACAGGTGTGAGCCCCTGGGCCTGACCAGCACCAGCTACTTCTTAGATAACTACCCAAGAGCTATTGTTGGCCAGAGTTTCTTAGCTAACCCAGGATATCAGAGCAGGGAAGGGAGAGGTCGTTTGAAACGCTGGTCTCCTATTGTTCTACCACTCATCCTTTTGGATTTCTTTCCCTGCTTCCTCTCTCTAGCTCTGGATGGCTGTGCCTGAGCAGGACAGCGGTCTGGGTATAGAGTAGAGGGTCTGACATGACAAGCTGTTCAAATGTGAAAGGAACTCCAAGGAGGCAGCTTGAGGGCAGGCAGGAGTAACAGAGCCAGAAACCGGTTCACAACCAGAGGCCGCCAGGTGCTTGACTCCTTAAATCAGAAGAGACAGATTCTTTTAAGAGTGAACTTTTAGCCAGGGCTGCTCTTACCTTGCTGGCCTGTAGACTGTAACTGGGCATCCATCGCAGCAATGGAGGGATGAAGAATGCTCCTATAGGACTGGCTTTGTACGTTTCTTTACTGTTCTCTATGTGGCATTTCTTTCTGTTATAATGAATTTAGGCAATTCTACAGAAAACAAGGCCCAGTGAACTCTAAAACATACCTCCAACCTTTGTCACTGTACAGTCATTTTTAAATATGTTGTAAGCAGTGTGTCCCTACTTTTTCTAATTTTTCATTTCAACTGCAGGTGGCAAATCTTTTAAGTTTTCTAGGAAGGAGGCAGGGCTTTTTACCATAGGAACATCCACTCCTTTTCTCTTCCCTTACTGCATATTTGAAGTTTTTTTCACAATTAATTCAAGTAACAGATAAGATTCTCAAAATATATTGTCTCAAATCTGCAGTTTTAGGATAAAGAGTTTTTGCACCATAAGTATATCTTCCACATCTTACCTATGCCATGGTTTAGATTTTTAGATTTTTTTTTTTTACATCCAGAATCATAGAAAGCTAGAACTTGAGCTCCAAACAGACTCCAAAGAGTGTGTGGCATCAGACACACTGGCCTTCATTTCAGTGCAGGCTGTGATGTTCCAAATGTTCCTGAGGCCTCTCAGAGAGTGCTGACATCAGGATGTACTCCTGACTCATATCAGTGGTTCTGAGAGCTTTGCACTTATGAGCTAATTTAAGGAATGAAATTTTGGTGACCAACACAGAGTTGTCAATTTTTAATTTGTCTAATGAAGGAAATTTAAAAAAAAAACTTCAGCTACCATCTTTGTAATTTTGTAAAGAACACCAAAAGTTTAGCCAAGACGTAATCACAAAATAAAGGACAGTCCTTTAAATTATAGAAATTTAACTTGATGGGGGAAAAATACCACTTTATTATTCTAATTTGTCTTATTTTGCTGTGGACCAATGAAAATATTCAAGTCTGTAGACCTGTGTTTAGGAAGCCCGGAGCAACTGCTACATCTTGCTACTTAGAGGCTATGATTTGAAAATTGCCACGTGAGTTTGGTTGCTATTTGATCTGTCACTGCTCTCAGTGAAATAAAAAATAGAGGGAAAAACAATCTAAAATAACTTTCTTTTTTTTTTTTTTTTTTTTTTTTTGAGACGGAGTCTTGCTCTGTAGCTCGGGCTGGACTGCAGTGGCCGGATCTCAGCTCACTGCAAGCTCCGCCTCCCGGGTTCACGCCATTCTCCTGCCTCAGCCTCCGGAGTAGCTGGGACTACAGGCGCCCGCCACCTCGCCTGGCTAGTTTTTTGTATTTTTAGTAGAGACGGGGTTTCACCGTGTTCGCCAGGATGGTCTCGATCTCCTGACCTCGTGATCCGCCCGTCTCGGCCTCCCAAAGTGCTGGGATTACAGGCTTGAGCCACCGCGCCCGGCCTAAAATAACTTTCTTTTTTAAAAACTAATTTTTTATTTTTGTGAGTAGATAATAGATGTATATATTTATGGGGTACATGAGATGTTTTGATACAAGCATGCAATGTGTAATAATCACATCATAGAGAATGCAGTATCTGTCTCCTCAAGCATTTATCCTTTGTGTTACAAGCAATCCGGTTATATTCTTTTAATTATTTTAAAATGCACAGTTAAGTTATTGACTTATAGTCATCCTGTTGCGCTATTAAATAGTAGATCTTATTCTTTCTATTTTTTTGCACCCATTAACCATCCCCGCCTTTCCACACCCCTCCACTCTCCTTCCCTGCCTCTGGTAACCATTCTTCTATTCTCTATCTCCATTAGTTCAATTGTTTTCATTTTTAGACCCCACATATAAATGAGAACATGCGTGTGGTGGCTCACGCCTGTAATCTCAGCACTTTGGGAGTTCGAGGCAGGTGGATCACAAGGTCAAAAGATCGAGACCAGCCTGGCCAACATGGTGAAACCACATCTCTACTAAAAATACAAAAATTAGCTGGGTGTGGTGGTGTGCGCCTGTAGTCCCCGTTACTCGGGAGGCTAAGGCAGGAGAATTGCTGGAACCCGGGAGGCAGAGATTGCGGTGAGCCAAGATCGTGCCACTGTATTCCAGCCTGGTGGCAGAGCAAGACTCCGTCTCAAACAACAATAACAACAGCAACGAAAAAAACGTGAAGTTTGTCTTTCTGTGCCTGGCTTATTTCACTTTACATAATGACCTCCAGTTCCATCCATGTTGTTGCAAGTGACAGGATCTCATTCTTTTTTATGGTTGAGCAGTACTCCATTGCTCCATTGTGCATATATACCACATTTTCTTTATGCATTCATCTGTTTTTGTTTTTGTTTTTGTTTTTTTGGGTTTTTTTTTTGCGACGGAGTCTTGCTCTGCTGCCCAGGCTGGAGTGCAGGGGCGCAATCTCAGCTCACTGCAGCCTCTGCCTACTGAGTTCAAGCGACTCTGCTGCCTCAGCCTCCTGAGTAGCTGGGACTACAGGCACCGTCCACCATACCTGGCTAATTTTTGTATTTTTAGTAGAGATGGGGTTTCACCGTTTTGGCCAGGCTGGTCTCAAACTCCTGACCTCAAGTGATCCGTATGCCCTGGCCTCCCAATGTGCTGGGATTACAGGTGCTAGCCACCGTGCCCGACCTCCATTCATCTGTTGATGGGCACATAGGTTGTTTCAAATCTTGGCTATTGTGAACAGTGCTACAACAAACACAGGAGTGCAGATATCTCTTTGATATACTGATTTTCTTTCTTTTGGGTACGTATGCAGCAGTGGGTTTGCTGAATTGTATGGTAGCTCTGTTTTTAGTTTTTTGAGGACCCACCAAACTGTTCTCCAGGGTAGTTGTACTAATTTACATTCCTACGAGCAGTGTACAAGGGTTCCCTTTTCTTCTCATTCTCACCAGTCTTTTGGCTAAAAGCCATTTTAACTGGGGTGAGATGATACCTCATTGTAGTTTTTTTTTGTCTTTTGTTTTGTTTGAGACACTCTCACTCTCACCCAGGCTGGAGTACAGTGGTGTGATCTCAGCTCAGTATAACCCCCACCTCCCAGGTTCAAGCAATTCTCCTGCCTCAGCTTCCCAAGTAGCTGGGACTACAGGCACGCACCACCATACGTGGCTGATATTTGTATTTTTAGTAGAAATTGGGTTTCGCCATGTTGGCCAGGCTGGTCTCAAACTCCTGACCTCAGATAATCCATCCGCCTCGGCCTCCCAAACTGCTGGGGTTACAGGTGTGCGCCACCATGCCCGGTCATTCATTATAGTTTTTTGATTTGCAATTCTCTGATGATCAATGATGTTGAACACCTTTTCATATGCCCGTTTGCCATTTGTATGTCTTCTTTTGAGAAATATCTGTTCAGATCTTTTGTCCCATTTTTTCATTGGATTATTAGATTGTTTTTTCCTATAGAGTTGTTTGACCTCTGTATATACTTTAGTTATTAATCTCTTGTCAGATGGGTAGTTTGCAGATATTTTATCCTATTCTGTGGGTTGTCTCTTCACTTTGTTTATTGTTTCCTTTTGTTTATTGTCTCCTTTGCTGTGCGGAAGCTTTTTAACTTAATGTGATCCCATTTGTCCATTTTTGCTTTGGTTGCCAGTGCTTGTGGGGTATTGCTCAAGAAATCTTTGCCCAGACTGATGTCCTGGAGATTTTCCCCAATGTTTTCTTGTAGTAGTTTCATAGTTTGAGGTCTTAGATTTATGTCTTTAATCCATTTTGATTTGGTTTTTGTATAGCAAGAGATAGGAGTCTAGATTCATTATTTTGCATGTGGATATCCAAGTTTCCCAGCACCATTTATTGAAGAGACTTCCTTTTTGCCAGTGTATGTTCTTGGCACCTTTTTCTAAAATGAGTTCACTGTAGGTGTGTAGATTTGTTTCTGGGTTCTCTATTCTATTCCATTGGCCTATGTTATCTGTTTTTATGCCAGTAACATGCTGTTCTGGTTACTATAGCTCTGTAGTGTAATTTGAAGTCAGGTTATGTGATTCCTCCACTTTTGTCCTTTTTGCTCAGGATAACTTAGGCTATTCTGGGCATTTCATGGTTCCATATAAATTTTAGGATAATTTTTTTCTAGTTCTGTGAGGAATGTCATTGGTGTTTTGATAGGGATTGTATTGAATCTCTACATTTCTTTAGGTAGTATGGGCATTTTAACAATATTGATTCTTCCAATCCATGAACATGGAATCTTTCCATTTGTTGGTGTCCCCTTTAAAATAATTGATTCTTAACTGCTGTTCGAAACGCCACAGTTCCTATCTTGTTTAATTTGTGCGAAATAATCTGCTGAAATTCAGTGTATAAAGGAGGTGGTGGAGGGAGTATATTCATATATGATTGTGTCTCTTGAATTTCAGGTGAGAGTCCAGAGTGTTGTTATGTGAAGCCTGCCATCCAGGAACCTCCAATAGTTATTAGTGATGATGACAATGACGACAACAACAGTAATGATTCGAAAGTTCCCAACAAAAACAGCAACGATTCGGAAGCTCCCGACAACAACGGCAATGATTTGGAAGCTCCCGATGACAACAGCAGTGATTCAGAAGCTCCCAACGACTACGGTAGTGATTCGGAAGTTCTCAACGACAACAGTAGTGATTCGGATGTTCCCGACAACAACAGTAATGATTCGGAAGCTCCCGAAGACAACAGTAATGATTCGGGAACCCCCGACGACAACAGTAATGATTCAGAACCCCGGCGACAACAGTGATTGGGGAACTGACGACAGCAGTAATGATTGGGAACCCCGGCGACGAAAACAGCAATGATTCGGGAACCCCCGACGACAGCAATAGCGACAACAATGCTTGATTCAGAACCCCGGCGGGCTTAACAATGCTTGATTCAGGAACTCGAGGACAACAGTAATGGTCGGATGCTCAGCGACAACTTATTAATGATTCGGAAGTTCCCGGCGACAACAGTAATGATTCAGAAGTTCCCGGCGACAGCAGTAATGATTCGGATGTTCCCGGCGACAACAGTAATGATTCAGAAGTTCCCGGCGACAACAGTAATGATTCGGGAACTCCTGACGACAATAATGATTTGGAAGTTCCGACAACAATAGTAATGATTTGATTCCCGACAACAATAGTAATGATTTGGAAGTTCCTGTGCCTTAAGAAGATTTGTGTGTAATGAAGGCCAGATTGCCTCAAATGAGAAGAGCTGGCTGAGGCTGCTGTCTCCCAGCACGATTCATCTGATGATGCTGGTGAGCAGGATCTTGGTGAGAATCTCAGCGAACCACCCCCGACGACAACAGTAATGATTCGGGAACCCCCGACGACAACAGTAACGACAACAGTAACGATTCAGGAACCCCCGACGACAACAGTAACGATTCAGGAACTCCCGAGGACAACAGTAATGATTCGGATGTTCCCGACGACAACAGTAATGATTCGGAAGTTCCCGACGACAACAGTAATGATTCAGAAGTTCCCGACGACAGCAGTAATGATTCGGATGTTCCCGACGACAACAGTAATGATTCAGAAGTTCCCGACGACAACAGTAATGATTCGGGAACTCCTGACGACAATAGTAATGATTTGGAAGTTCCCGACAACAATAGTAATGATTTGGAAGTTCCTGCAGCAGTGGACATGGAATTGTGGCAGCCTGTTTCAGTTTTTGAGGACCCACCAAACTGTTCCCAGGGCTACAATGACCATTCACAGCAGTGTACAAGGGTTCTTTCTCATTCTCACTGAGTCTTTGCCAAAAGCCATTTTAACCCGGTGAGATGATACCTCATTGTAGTTTTTTTTTGTCTTTGTTTTGTCACACTCTCACTTTACCCAGGCTGAGTACAGTGGTGTGATCTCAGCTCAGTGATAACCCCCACCTCCCAGGTCCAAGCAATTTCTCCTGCCTAGCTCTCAAGTAGCTGGGACTACAGGCACGCACCACCATACGGAAGCTGATATTTGTATTTTTAGTAGAAATTGTTGGGTTTCGCTTATGTTGGCCAGGCTGGTCTCAAACTCCTGACCTCAGGTAATCCATCCGCCCTCCTCCTCCCTCCAGCCTCCCAAAACGCTGGGCTACAGCCACCATGCCCGGGGTCATTCATTATAGTTTTTTGATTTGGTAATTCTCTGATGATCAATGATGTTGAACACCTTTTCATATGCCCGTTTGCCATTTGTATGTTCTCTTTGAGAAATATCTGTTCAGATCTTTTGTCCCATTTTTTCATTGGATTATTAGATTGTTTTTTCCTATAGAGTTGTTTGAATTCTGTATATACTTTAGTTGAAGGAATCTCTTGTCATGGGTAGTTTGCAGATATTTTAATCCCTATTCCTGTGGTTGTCTCTTCACTTCCTGTTTATTGTTTCCTTTGTTTATTGTCTCCTTTGCTGTAAAGTGAAGCTTTTAACTTAATGCATCCCATTTATTCATTTTGCTTTGGCCAAGTGGCTTGTGGTGGCATGCTCAAGAAATCTTTTGCCCAGACTGGGATGTCCTGGAGATTTTCCCCAATGTTTTCTTGTAGGTTTATAGGCTGAGGTCTTAGATTTATGTCTTTAATCCATTTTGATTTGGTTTTTGTATAGCAAGAGATAGGAGTCTAGATTCATTATTTTGCATGTGGATATCCAAGTTTCCCAGCACCATTTATTGAAGAATTCTTTATTGTATGTTCTTGGCACCTTTTTCTTAAAATGAGTTCACTGTAGGTGTGTAGGATTTGTTTGCCCTCATTCTATCTGATTATCATGCCATTTGTTTTTATGCCAGTAAACATGTTGTCTTGTGCTACTATAGCTCTGCAGTGCACCTAAGCCGCTGTGATCTTCCACTTTTGTCCCTTTTGCCCAGATAACTTAGGCTATTCTGGCATTTCATGGTTCCAAGCAGAGCAAATTTGAGGACAATTTTTCATCAGAGGGAATGTCATTGGTATTATAGGACTAGTTAACTTCATACTTTTGTGGTATAACACTGAACAATATTGATTCTTCCAATCCATGAACATGGAATCTTTCCAATGTTGGTAGTCTCTTTGAAATAATTGATTTTAACTGCTGTCTAAACGCTACAGGCTCCATCTGTTTAATTTGTGCGTAAATAATCTGCTGAAATTCAGTGTATAAAGGAGGTGGTGGAGGGAGATATTCATATGGATTGTCTCTGGACTTCAGGTGAGAGTCCAGAGTGCTGTTATGTGAAGCCTGCCATCCAGGAACCCCCAATAGTTAATAGTGATGATGACAATGACGACAACAACAGTAATGATTCGAAAGTTCCCAACAAAACAGCAAACGATTCGAAGCTCCCGACAACAACGGCAATGATTTGAAGCTCCCATGACAAATAGCAGTGATCCAGAAGTCCAACGACTACGGTAGTGATTCGGAAGTTCTCAACGGCTAACAGTAGTGATTCGATGTTCCCGACAACAACAGTAATAGATCTGGAAGTCTGACAAACAGTAATGGGATCAAACCCCGACGACAACAGTAATGATTCGGGAACCCCCACCACAACAGGCAATGACTGGGAACCCCGACGACAAAGTAATGACTGGAACCTGACGACAACAGTAACATCTGGGAAACCAACACAACAGTGGCACTGATAACAGTGAATTTATTCAGGAACCCCTTACTAATAACAGATCATCTGTAACTCTAAGACACAGCACATCTGATGTCTCTGACTACAACAGCAATGATTCGGGAAAGCCCCCACCACAACAGTAATGATTCAGCAGCTCCCACGACAGCAGTAATGATTCTGATGTTCTCACCACAACAGCAATGATTCAGTCTCACGCATAACAGTAATGTGATTCGGGAACTCAACACACAGTAATGATTTGAAGTTCCCAATTAGGCAATGATTTGGAAGTTCCCACACAGAAGATTTCAGTAAACAAGCACGACTGCCTCAAATGAATAAAGAAAGGAGGCTGTCTCGTTACCTATCTATCTGATGATGTTATGGAGCAGAATCAAAAGAGAATCAATCAAACATCCTGAGTACAAACTTTAGCTTGTATATAAGTTGCCAGCTGATGAAATATCGCACCCTAAAAAGTAATATTATGCACAATAAAACTAAATGAGTAGGGAAAGACAAAAGTCACAATGATTTGGAAGTTCCCGACAACAATAGTAATGATTTGGAAGTTCCTGTGCCAGCAGAAGATTTGTGTAATGAAGGCCAGATTGCCTCAAATGAAGAAGAGCTGGCTGAGGCTGCTGTCTCCCAGCACGATTCATCTGATGATGCTGGTGAGCAGGATCTTGGTGAGAATCTCAGCGAACCACCAAATGATCCTGAGGCTAACCTTGAAGTTTCAGAGAGAAAGCTGCCAGCTGAGGAAGAGCCTGCACCTGTGGTGGAACAAGCAGGGAAAAGGAAGTCAAAAACCAAAACTATTGTGGAGCCACTAAAACAACAGAAGGCAAAAACCAAAACTATTGTGGAACCGCTGAGGAAAAGGCAGGCAAAGACCAAAAATATAGTGGAGCCACTGAGGAAGAGGAAGGCAAAAACCAGAAATGTATCTGTGACACCTGGTAAGTCAGTCATGCCAAGTATGCCTGTCCCACTGAATGTGCCTTGCCTGCCAAATGTGCCTGTCTTATCCAGTCTGCCTGTCCTCCCTGTCAACCCTGTGCCATTTCAACAACTTCCTTGTGGCCCAAGGAGGCATCCATCCAGTGAAAGGATGGTTCTGGGAACAGGGGAGGAATGCCCACATCTTTCTCATGCTCCTGTATCTTGGTATCTGCTGTTCACTAGCCTGGAGTGCTGTCTCCCTGAACTTTCTGTTCTGAGGATGTCTTATTTTTCTTAGGACCCAGCCCAATGATCACTTCCTCTATGAAGTCGTGAGTCAGAGTGGCTCCTGTCCCCTGAGTTACCAAAGTTCTAGAGCCCATCTCTACGAAAGCACTAGTCATACTGTTAGAATATGTTCCTGAGTCGGTCCCCTTCCCTACCCCGCCCCGGTAGACTGTGAGCCTCTTCGTGGGAGGACTCTTCCTCATCTTTTACTCTCTCTCAGGGTTTGGCCTGGTGCTTGGCACGTGATAGAGGTTCAATACATTTTTTGGATATATGAATGACACTGACTATTGATACATAAGCCTTTAGCTAGAGCAGCTGGCAGGATGGATCCTAGGCCCAGGCAGAAAGATCTGCCTTGCCCTGCACACTGAGTGAAGGTGCTGCCTAGGATATGAGCCAGTCATCGGAGCCGGTGTGTGAGCTGTACCGTACCACGCCCTTCGACTGTGCACGCTTCAGTTGCCCACACCACCTAGCTTCCTAAGGGCACACTCCTGGACCTTCATAGTCCTTGGTGCCTGTGACAGAATCCTGCCCAGCTCATGCTGCTGGCAGCTCTGTAATTCACGTGGGTGAGATGGTTGAGAATGATGACGGCGGCAGTATGCCACTTCAGACAGTTTTGTTTAGAGATGTTGCACTGGGCTTGGCTGTGAGGGCTCCTTTTGGGTTTACCTTTCTGTTAGTCTCTTGATGGTACCAATTTTTGGGGTACAAGTCACCTATTATTTTTCCAGCTGGTAAAGGACGTAAGAAGCGTGGACCTTCAAAGAAGAAACACGGTGCGGCAAAAGTAAAAAAACGCAAAACTAGGTATGTACTACCCATGTTCCGTTGAACAGGAATTTATTGCACAGTTGTCACACTGGGTAGTCCACTGGGCACTTGGGTGGGGGTGGTCTATAAGGGGATGGAGTCTGGCTGGGATGGAATGGGGGGACAAGATTTCTGTCCTTCAGTAGGAGGGCCCAAGCAAGGGAGAATAGCACCCACTGGCTCCCTTCCCACTTCTTTCCCCACTCTCTGAGGCTGGGCATGGGCTCTCCGCCAAGGTGCCTGCAGTTACCTGGGTAGAGGGGGCCTTTCTGCACCCACAGCAGCTCTGGCCTCTGAGATTGCCCATGTCCTTCAACTCAGATCAAAGAACTATGTGTAGCCAAGCAAGACACTTTTTTTCAGGCTTGATATAGCTTCGTGGCCACCAGTTTATGCTAAACCAAGGCAAAGGCATTGGAAATGGTGAGAAGGCAGAAGCAACACATTGATCTGTTGGAACTGGAGGGAGAGTGGTCAAGATTGCCTTCCAGGTTTTTCTAGTGCTTTGGCTGAACCCAGTTACTGTTACTACTATGTATATCCTTATGAATTTTTCAGCTGAAATGTTAGGATGAAATGGATTGCTTATCATTCCTTTATTTTTATTAAGCTGTATATAGTTGATACTGAAAACAACAACTGATCCTGTAGACCAAAGACATGTTAATACTTAAGGCAAAAAATTAATGTGTTTTCTTATTTAGATTCCAGGAATTTCTTAGTTTTTCCCTTAAAAATGTGATATAGTAAGCATAATTTTCTTTTTTTTCTTTTTTCTTTTTTTTTTTTTTGTGAGACAGAGTCTCGCTCTGTCGCCCAGGCTGGAGTGCAGTGGCGCGATCTCGGCTCACTGTAAGCTCCGCGTCCTGGGTTCACGCCATTCTCCTGCCTCAGCCTCCTGAGTAGCTGGGACTACAGGCGCCCGCCACCACGCCCAGCTAATTTGCATAATTTTCTTTGTTTTTACTTTCATTGAAGAGTAATGTATACTCACATCTGAATTGTCTTACAAGACAAGGAATGTATTTGAAGGACTATATGTTATTTTTTAACGAATATTTGGGGACAATAAGTATATCTTAAGGGAGGGGAAAAAGACTGATTATGTCAGGCATAGGGGCACCAGCTTACCCTGGACCTGAACAGAAGGGCTGTCTGTTTCTGCACTGGCTGAGGTAGCCGGTAGCAGCTTGCCAAGTGCTCTTTTAGCTGGATCCCCTTTCAGGAAGGTTTCTGCTCCAGACTCCTAACTACATATTTAAGCTACTTTGCCTCCAGGGACGTGTGTCTTGGGTAGCTCCCAGGTTGCTTTGCTAGAGCGTGACAAAAGAAGGGAAAAGCTGTCCCTTGGTGTCATTGTCAGTCTGCATTATCCAAAGGAGGCTAGCCTATTTGGACTCTTAACTGTTGTTTAGCACTTCCTATGTCGTCTGGAGGCTTCCTGTTATGCTTAGCATTGTTCCTGTGTAGGCTGCTTGCTGGTCATGGTGTCTGATTTTCCCAGTTTGGGGTCTTGTCGGTTCCTGTGATGTGAAGGTGCTTAGTCTGCAGTAAAGAGCCACAGGCCTTGAGGTGAAAGTATGCTAAGCCACAAGGCTGGCGTTCTGTGAGCACAAACACACAGGGGTCTGGGCTCTGCCGAAGTCTGCAGAGGGTTCAGGTTTGCATCTGCCACCTTACATACTGATGTAAGTTTGCTTTCAGACCTAAGTAACTGGAGGCAGAAATATTTCAGTCCCCCATTTCAGGCTTGGGATGAAGACCCTTCCGTAACCTCTGTCTTGTCTGGTACTTCCCCTCTCTGCAGCCCAACTTCCTCACGTAGGGTTTAGTTTGTGACTTAAGGGTTAATAACGGTTCTGGCAAAATCTCAGTCTTAGGAGTTCTGTTAAGTCAGAAACTTGCTGCGTTTGCTCCCCTTTTATTTTTCCAGCTCTTTGGGCTCATCTCTGGACTTAGTGGACTGTTCCAGCTAAGATAAAAATGCTTCTGTTTAAATGGTAGTTATTACAGTATGAGTCCTTTATGTGCTCAGCATTATTCTTTGTGCCATTTGAATTAGGCCTTCAAAGATGGGGCAGCGATAGTGGTTTAATCAAAAGACCATGAGATTTGGATCAGGAGATTCACTGTCTCTGTGACCTTTGGGCAAGTCACTTGACCTCTGAGCACAGTGGAGATCGTAAAAATAGTTAATAGCTTCTTTGAAGGGCGGTTGTGAGGATTAAATATGACAATGCAAAAGGAAGTTCTTTGCGAATGATAAAGTGCTGCGCAGATGGTTATTCTCAGTAGTGGTGGAGATGTAGTCATTGTAAGCCGTGGGAAAATAGATTGTGCCGAGGCACAAATGCGGGAAATTGCGATTTGTGTCCAGGAAACATTTAAGTTGCCCACTTTGGCTAGAGTGGCAGTGGTAGCTGGGAATAGAGCTTTGGACAGGGTTGACCCTGGCCATGAATGTCAGGCCAGGCAGTGAACAACCAGAGGGGGACAGTAATTGGAGCATGGCCTGCGAAAATGAATCTGGAGGAGTGTGTGTGATTGGATGAGAAGAGAAAGAGCCTGGAGGTAAGGAACACTGGAATGTTCTCATATCCAGGCATAAAGGGTAGGACAAGAACTTGAACTAGAGTAGGAACCAGGGGGATGGAAAGGAGGGGCTGAAGAGAAAGTGTGAAGAAGATAGTCTGTCTCTGTGCCCAATAAAGAGAGAAAAGGAATTTTATTTTATTTTTTGAGACAGAGTCTCGCTCTGTTGCCCAGGCTGGAGTGCAGTGGCGCGATCTCGGCTTACTGCAAGCTCTGCCTCCTGGGTTCACGCCATTCTCTTGCCTCAGCCTCCTGAGTAGCTGCGACTACAGGCACCCGCCACCACGCCCGACCAATTTTTGCATTTTTAGTAGAGACGGGGTTTCACTGTGTTAACCAGGATGGTCTCGATATCATGACCTCGTGATCCACCCGCCTCGGCCTCCCAAAGTGGTGGGATTACAGGCGTGAGCCACCGCGCCCGGCCGAGAAAAGGAATTTAAAAATGTCTTTGAGGTTTTTCAGCCAATTGTAACACAAGTTTAGCTGGAGATACATTCGTGTTAGTCAGTTGGAAGTTTGCACTGGGCAGTTGTAAATTCAGAACTAGGTCTCAGGAGAGCTCCAGAGTGCAGATACAGATGTGGGGATAAGTCTCTTTGAGGTTGAAACCATGGGTTTTATACCTCTGAGGGTTGCAAAGAGTGAAGAGAAAAGGCTGCAAATGAAGGCTTGGGAAATGCCCTCATCTAAGGAGCTGGATGGAAGAGGAAGCGACAGGTCTTGACAAGACGCTTACATGTACATTCCTTCTCTCTCTTTAGCTACATAAACCTCAGCTGAATTTATCTTTACAGGACTCGTAAGTGCAAAGTCCCTGGATGTTTCTTGTATGGCCTTGAAAAATCGAAGAAATACTCTGGAAAAAATTTAAAGCGAAATAGGGATGAATTGGTTCGGAGAATCTATGATCTGTTTAACAGATCCGTCTGTGATAAAAAGGTAGGATCAATGAATGAGCACTGATTGAGCACCTACTATACACCAGTACTCTTGGTGCCGTGAGGTGCACTAACCCTATATACTTCCCGCCCTTGAGCAGAGGCAGTTGAGGTTGGGAGATGAGCCCTGGCACAGGTGAAAGCAATAGAGAATGTGTATGAGTTATAATGTATAGGACAGATGGCTATTACCACAGGAGATCAGCAGAGGGAGAAATCACTGAGAGCCTCAACAGCCAGGAAGTAAGATTACCTGGAGGAAGTGAGACTCTGCTTCTTAAAGGATGGTAAGTGGCGAGAACAACAGGATGGGGGAGAGGGAGAGTTGAGGCTCGACAATCAGGAAGAGAGGATTCTTGTGGAAGGATAATGGAAAAAGAGCTGTGTGACCTTGAACAAGTTACTTGACCTCAGTTTCCGTCAGTTTCTTCATCTGTAAAATGGGGACAACACGGTACATATTACCTTATAGGATTATTGTTACCCTTCCATAAGTTAATACACATACAGTGCCTAGAACAGGGTCTAGGACGTAGTAAGCTCTTATTTTTTGATAGTGTAGGACTGGATACGGGAGGGCCTTGGGAATCAGGTTGGAGGAGGTTAAATTTATGTGAGTAGGCACCACTGCACAGGGATGGGGTGCATCAGGGAGTGAATGAAATTAACCTGCTGAAAGAAATTAACCTGACAGTAACCTGTGGGTATGGACTGGATTGGATAAAATCTGGAGGCAGAGAGACCTATTGGTCATTAGATTTTTCAGACTTTATCATCTCTGGTGACAACACTTTATGGAGGGAAGTTCTTACATATTCCTAAAGGTTCCCCAGCCTTTGGTGCCCTTCTGGATGACAGTGATGTCACATCAGATGGGTGGAACCTGAAGTGTTCTGAGTTGCATTTTCAGTTCAGCCTCGCCCACCTCAGCAGGGTTGTCCTTCTCTCCTTGGCTGCCCCAAGGACAAGAGAGCCCAAGTCCTGCGCTCACATGTTCTATCAGTTTCCCTTGTGTTCTGATTGCCTGTTTATTGTCTTTACCCAGACTTCAATGTGGCTTTTATTCTCCTCAGAATGTTTTGATTTGTATTCTCTTTGAATAAATTTCTTCTCAAACTTGCTCTGCGCCAAGACCTGGGGGAGAAATTTCCTTTTCCTTTTTATTAGAGGGTAAAAAACTCTGGAGTTAATATTTTCTGGTCTGCTTAAAACTGCTTTCTGGGCCGGGCGCGGTGGCTCAAGCCTGTAATCCTAGCACTTTGGGAGGCCGAGACGGGCGGATCACGAGGTCAGGAGATCGAGACCATCCTGGCTAACACGGTGAAACCCCGTCTCTACTAAAAAAATAGAAAAAATTAGGCGGGCGCCTGTAGTCCCAGCTACTCGGGAGGCGGAGCTTGCAGTGAGCTGAGATCCGGCCACTACACTCCAGCCGGGGCGACAGAGCGAGTCTCCGTCTCAAAAAAAAAAAAAAAAAAAAAAAAAAAAAAAAAAAAAAAACTGCTTTCTGGGCCCAGCGTGGTGGCTCACGCCTGTAATCCCAGCACTTTGGGAGACCAAGGCAGGCGGATCACCTGAGGTCAGGAGTTCGAGACCAGCCTGATCAACATGGTGCAACCCTATCTCTACTAAATACGAAAAATTAGCTGGGTGTGGTGGCGCACGCCTGTAATCCCAGCTACTTGGGAGACTGAGGCAGGAGAATCACTTGAACCTGGGAGGCAGAGGTTGCAGTGGGCTGAGTTTGCGCCATTGCATTGCAGCCTGGGCAACAAGAGCTAAAACTCCGTCTCAAAAAAACAACAACAACAAAACAAAACTGCTTTCTGATTCCTTTCATTTGCTTTTCATTCTCAGCTGCCAGAGAAACTACGGATAGGCTGGAATAACAAGATGTTGAAAACTGCTGGCTCATGCAGCACTGGCGAGGTGTGGCACCCAAAGAGGCAGCGCTTTGCCGAGATCCAGATTGGCTTGAAAGTCTGCGACTCTGCAGGTGATGGCAGGAGTGTGGCAGCTTCACTACCACGCTCTTTCCTTCTGACGCCGTGCCTGTGAAATCCCTCCTAGCTGGTAGCCTGTGTCACAGCTCGAACTGTCATTCTTGGGTGGGCAGGCATGCTGTGTGTTGCTTAGAGGACATAGTTATTGGATGTCTCACCATCCCTGTGAATCAAACCCATCGATCTTTATACCAGGCCTGCCTTTCTCTCTGCATTTCCCCCTTGCCAGCAGTAGCATCTTCATTCTCTCAGGAGCTGAGGTTCAGGGTCCCCTATGTCCAGCCAGTCACCAAATCTTCCTTCACAGTAGCTCACCATTCCTTCTCTATCTGTGCCTCCATCCAAGGACAGGCCCTCATCCCTGCTCCATTTCGTCTCCCCTATGTAACTACATTGCTTTCCTGCTGAGAAACCAGGGCTTTTCAAGGCCTAGAGCCTGGCTTTTGAGGCCATTGTAATGTTCTCCTGTTTGGCTTGGCCAATCTTGTCTCTCAGTATTCTACCACTAGCCCACGCCCCAGACAGGCTGTCTTCACACTGGCCTTCAAAACATACCACAGGCTGCGTGCGGTGGCACACACCTGTAGTCCCAGCTATTTGCAAGGCTGAAGTGAGGGGCTCGCTTGAGCCCAGGAGTTCGAGGCTGTAGTACACTATGATCACACCTGTGAATAGCAGTTTCACTCCAGCCTGGGCAACATAGCAAGACTCAGTCTCCAAAATGTTTTTAAAACTGTGCCACATACTCATGTTTTGCCATATCCAGAATGGCCTTTCTAAATTCAATCAATTAGTAAGAACCCCTGAGATCCCAATTTCACCATGGAGCTTCTAACCAAATCCCACGGCCATAGCGATTGCTCCCCACCCTGTCCACCTCTGTTCCTGGAGGGCAGAAACTAGATCTTGTCTGGATATTTTTCTAGAAGTACCTCACAAAAAAAAATGAGTATGTTGGAGCTGCTCTGAAAAGACCTGCTCACCGAAGGCTCTTTGCCGTAAACAATATTGGGTTGAAGTAGGTTCACTATTCACTTTGAGAATCCTGGGAAGGTAACACTCATACTTACCTGCATGTGCTTCTGTAAGATAACCTTGTGTCTGGTGGGGCTGAAAGTCGAGGGGTTGTTGGGTAGCAGATAAGAAGAGGATTGGGGCCGGGTGTGGTGGCACATGTCTGTAATCCCAGCACTTTGGGAGGCTGAGGTGGGTGGATCACCTGAAGTCAGGAGTTCGGGACCAGCCTGGCCAACATGGCAAAACTCCGTCTCTACTAAAAAAAAAAGACCAAAAAATCAGCCGGGCATGGTGGTGCACGCCTGTAATCCCAGCTACTTGAAACCGGGAGGTGGAGGTTGCAGTGAGCCGAGATCACGCCATTACACTCCAGCCTGGGCGATAAAGCAAGACTGTCTCAAAAAAGAAAAAAAAAAAAAAAGAGTATTGGTTTTAGTGCTCACAATTTCTTTTCATTCTTCTTTCAAGACCGAATCCGGGATACTTTGATCCATGAAATATGCCATGCTGCCTCCTGGCTGATTGATGGTATCCGTGATTCTCATGGTGACACATGGAAGTGTTATGCCAGGAAATCCAACAGGATACACCCGGAGCTGCCCAAGGTCACCCGCTGCCATAACTATAAGATTAACTACAAGGTCCATTATGAATGTACTGGGTGCAAAACCAGGTAAGACTCTTCTCAGACTTTTCCCAGTTACGTTTTGCTGGGGCCTCCAAGTGGCTCTTGAGTGATTTCATAAGTAGATGGCCATCTGAATTGAGGAGGAGAACCTCTCTCCTCCTTTCCATGTTCTCTTTCTCCTTTCTCTTCAGTAATTTGAGCCGGTCTGACCACTGCTGCCACTTGGTGCCCGGGTCTCTGATACCCCAGAGAAAATTATGGCTTTGGGCCCAAGGCCAACATCTCAGAGCCGATGCTGAGGTGCAGTGACTGATTCTTTTGTTGTGTGTTGTTCCTTTCCTTCCCAGGATTGGCCGCTACACCAAATCGCTGGACACCAGCCGCTTCTTCTGTGGCAAATGCAAGGGGTCTCTGGTCATGGTGCCGTAAACTCAGAAACATGGGACCCGTATTGTGCCCCACGTATGACCATTTGCTGTGTATGTGCAGAAGTATTATAGAAAAATTAAGCAGGAGATGGCTAGGATTAGCCACGGGGATATGATGAAAACACTTGGTAGGAATTACAAGGCAATGAAGAATTCTTAAAGTTATCTGAGAGTATATTCATGTGAGATTTATCCTTTACTGGTAAGAAGTTTTAGAAAAGTTTGTTTTTGTGAAGTTAGGAATATTAGAATTTAGGTACTGTTAAGTAAGTAGTATTAGAATTTAAGATTCATGTTATTAATGATGATTGACCTTAACCAGGGACTCTGTTGCTAACTATTCTGTGCCCTTGACAGGGTATTTCTGAAGCCCTTGGGATCTACCTTGGGTCTTACTTGAGTTCCATATTTTTCACATGTAGGACAAAATGCAAAAGAAAAGTGAGTTTTCAAGAGTGGCAGGTTGAGAGAAAGAGGAGAACGCTGGAAAGAGGACAAGTTTTAGAGGCAACACTTAAACACCAGGGCTACTGTGACATCTATGTAGACAGGAAAGACAAACGTGTTTCATAAAATTCGTTGCTGATGGTATTGATTGAAACTGTCTGAGCCATGTAATCAAAAAATAAAGTTTTCTGCATCTCACTTGTGAGCAAAGTCTGTTCATTGACTCCCTGCACCTAGAGCAGAACAGACCCTCTGGTCTTTTGTCCAAGACTCCGGACAGCTGAAGCCCTCCGGGACTTGTCTAGAGGAGCGCGCTGCACTCCGTGTTTCTGTCTGGCTTCTGTGACAGCCCATAAGGACTTAGCAGCCTCCCCACTTCTTGGAGCAATTCAGGATATGGACTGGGATCCACATTGTATTCATTTCCTGTGGTTGCCACGACAAATTACCACAAGCATAGTGGCTTAAAACAACACACATATACAGTTCTGGCGGTCAGATAGTCCATCACTGGTGCCACTGGGCTAAAATCAGGGTGTTGACAGGGCTGTGTGCCTTCCTGGAGGCTCTGGGGGAGAATCTGTTGCCTTGTATTTTCCTTTTTTTTTTTTCCGAGACAGAGTCACTCTGTCACCCAGGCTGGAGTGCAGTGGCACGGTCTTGGCTCACTGCAACCTCTGCCTCCTGGGTTCAAGTGATTCTCCTGCCTCAGCCTCCCGAGTAGCTGCTATTACAGGCACCTGCCACCATGCCCAGCTAATTTTTGTAGTTTTAGTAGAGACAGGGTTTCACTGTGTTGGCCAGGCTGGTCTGAAATTCCTGAAATGCCTCAAGTGATCCACGTACCTTGGCTTCCCAAAGTGCTAGGATTACAGGTGCGAGCCACCTCACCCAGCCTTTTCTGCCTTTTAGAGGCTGCTCACATTTCCTGGGTTCATGGTCCCGTCCTCCAGAGGCAGCAACAGTTCCCTCTCTGACTCCCCTGCTGCCTCCCTCTTTCGCTTTTATTTTTATGTATGTATGTATGTATGTATGTATTTATTTATTTATTTATTGTCGCCCAGGCTGGAGTGCAGTGGTGCGCGTGGACATCTTGGAGGCCACATTTTCAGCCGGCCACAAACATCTTGACTACCCTGATACTTTTTCTAGGCAGGGTGTGTTCTGTCATTTCCCTGCCTTTCTTCATTTTGTAAAAGCTTGGAGTGTCTAGTGGCCACAAAGCGGGATGGTGTGTTTATATGGTGGGACGAGCTTCCCCAGCTAACTCTTGAGATTCTTCCTCCCCATCCCCACCTCCAGCCGTATCTGCAGTTTCGGCAGGGGCCCAGCTGGCCTGTGAAACTGGATCCTAGCACATTGGTGACTTAATTAGGGGGCACTGACAGTGCAGTAGACCCACCCGTCACCTTCTGTTTTAACTCAGTAGCCCTGTCACTTGCCTTTCTGGGAAACCCCAGTTATTTCTTCCCCTCACTTCAGCCTCATTGATAGCCCTGGAAAAATGCTCCCCACAGCCCGCCTCCAGGTGGCTGTGTGCTAATGACTGTTGGCAAGCATCTGGCCTTGCTTTTCTTCAAGCCCGCAGCCATTTCCCTAGTAAGCACTTGTATCACTCACCTGAAAAACCAGTAGGGCCTTCTGAATGGTCTCCAATATCATCACCTGATCCCAAATTAACCTTTCAGTCTTACTTTCAGCCTTCCCACCTTTGCTACTGCCCTCCCTTATGCCTGGAAATACCTGCCCTTTAAGTCTTCAAGAAGCCTTCCCAAATGGCTCCAACCTTCAGTGCCCTGAGCTGTGGGTTCACTGTGCCACTTATTTGCCCCATGGCCCAGGCTGCTGGGTTTCACTAGTTTCGTACACATCTTGCCTCCTGTCCTGAGCTGCTGGAGTGCAGAGCTCTCGTGTTCATGTCTGATGGCCCCTTCCCCAATTATGTCAACCAGCTGCCTAACTGGTCACTCTGCACCCATGTACTTGGGTGTTTCCCTGTGAGTAGAACAGGAGTGCCCACGGGGGCAGAGACAAAGCTGCAGACAGACACTGATGAAGGCAGGATGGGCTGGCACAGACCCAGGGCCAGGCAGGGAGAAGCAGAAGTGCCCCTGGAGCCCAGGTGGGCTGGCTGTAATGATGCACGAACACGCCCTGGTCCTGACGATCTTGTTTATTGAAAAGTTTTAAGCAGGATTTTCGATGTAAAAATAAAAGCAAATATAGAGGTCTTGGGGACCATGGCCACAGTCACTGCTGAACTGGAGGCCTGGGCTGCAGCTTCATGGGGCAGCGCCCTCTATGCTATGCCTTGTACTCCCAGCACTTGGGGAAGGTGAAGTTTTAGTTTCCAAATGAGAAGGGCAGTGGGGCTCCACGCAGCCACCTCGGCCGGCAGGATGGGGCTTGGCAGCTAACGAGCAGCAATGGTGCAGTCCTCAGAGCTGGGAGGGTGGTTTCCCTGGAGACCTGGTGGTGCTGGGGCTGCCAGTGAGTCCCGGGAGCGAGGATGTGGGGAGAGCCAGAACCGGCTCAGCAGAGGGAGGGAGGAGCCTGGAAAGCGGGAAAGTCAGACTGTGTGGGTGAAAGGGGAGCCCGGATTCTGGCCTCACAAGCCCGAGTAGGAGGCCTCTGAGGTCTCAGACCAGGATGAATCCCGGCGGGAAGACGATGGCTGCCTCTGGAGCCCTCTCTGGTTGGGGCAGCCCAGGCGCAAGAGCAGCATCCACATCCGCTCCCGGAACTTGACCCCTACAAAGGCATAGAGCAGCGGGTTGAGGCAGCAGTGCATGTAGCCCAGGCCTGAGGTGACCGACTTGGCCACGTCTACCCTGCTTTCTCGGCCACAGTTCCGGGCTAAAGCGCCCAGGTCCATGAGGATGTCCACCAGCACCACCAGGTGATAGGGGGTCCAGCAGAGGGCAAAGGCCACCACGACCACCACCACCAGCCGCATGGCCCGCAGGCGCCGCTGGCCCCTGGAGACCAGCAGCACGGCCAGGATGTGGGCATAGCAGTAGGCCATGACCAGCAGGGGCAGCAGAAAGCCAGCCACCAGCTGCAGCACACGCAGAGCCGTGCGGCCCACCTGTGGGAAGTTGTACTGGCAGTGGGTGGCGTTGAGGCGCTCGTCATGGTGGGCCGACAGGAAGATGAAGTCTGGGAGGGCGAAGAGCAGGCAGAGCCCCCAGACAGCCAGGCAGGTGAGGGTCACGCGGGCCGGGGGCCCCCTGCGGTAGAGCTGGGTGGCGTGCACTATGTTCAGGTAGCGGTCAAAGCTGATGCAGGCCAGCAGGAGGGCCCCTGCGTAGAAGTTGATGTTGAAGAGGGCACCTGCCACTTTGCAGAGGCCAGAGCCAAAGACCCACTGGACGGCAGCGTCCACTGCCCAGAGTGGGAGAGTCAGCACCAGCAGCGTGTCTGCCACAGCCAGGTGGAGCAGGAAGGTGTCGGTGCTGCTCAGGGCTGCCCGCCGGCTCAGCAGCACCGCTGCCACCGCGCCGTTGCCCAGCAGCCCCAGCAGAAAGAGGAGGCTGTAGAGGGCTGGCAGGAAGGCCCGGTCGAAGTTCAGGCTGAAGTCCTGTGGGCAGGGCGGGGAGGTACAGCACGAGTCACTCTCGTTTTCTCCATAGTCATAGGAAGAGCTGAAGTTCTCCAGGAGGGCAGCAACCTCGGCGTCATTTAGCACTTGGTGGTCACTCACCTGTGAGGGAGGGAACGCAGAGGAAGGGGCTGTGTAAAGGCCCGCCAGGAACTCCTTTGTGACCGAGTCTGATTTAGACTGTGATTTACTCTGAGCAGCTCCTCCTATAACTGTCCCCGCCAGTCTTCCAGGGCCATACCTCCTCAACTCCATCCGCTCAGCCTGGGCTCTGGGATGGTGACTTCCCTTCTCAAAGACTGCTTCTCTTGAACTCTTCTGGGTGATCCCATAGGCCCAGGGACCCCTGGGCAGGAGGAAGAGCGTCCCCCCGGTGCCCAGAGCCCTCTCTGCCCACTGTCCTCTCTCTCCCCGCTCTCCCTTCACAGCTTGCCTTGCATTCTCAGTGCCCCACCCCCAACACACAGTTCAATCACCTTCCTCCCCAGCGTCTCTCCACAATCCCCTCTTCCAGTCACTGACCCTCCTCTTCCCTCCTCGGCCCTTGTCCGGGGACCCCAACTTCCTGCCCCCCTCTCCCTGTGTGGCCTCTCTACAAGTCACCACGCCCCCCAAATGCGTGCAGGTCTGCCCAGTCCTTCCCCCTCCCTACACTGAGGCTTGCACGGCCATTTAGTTGCCCATGAGGGGATCCCCCACTGAGCTTGAGAAGGAATCTTCTTTACCCCCTCACCCCCAGCACTACGGACCTGCAGGCCTCCCCAGTGCCAATTCAATCCAGCACGCCAGAGTCAAAGTTCCAAGTCGCCTGAAGGGAGCCTTTGAGTCTACTTGCCCCCCGCCCCCCCATTTTGCAGACGAGACACCAAAGCCAGAGAGGAGAGGAGAGGCACCCAGGGTCAGTGGCCAAGCTGGGTTCCCAATTCCCCAGTGCTGTTTCTGCCACAACCCATGCAGCCTCCAGCTACTCACCCAACCCTGCGTTGACCCTGGGCTGTGGGCGAGCCGTGGTATTCCCCTAGTGCCCCGGGTTCTCCACTTCGAACTCTGTCCTGGCCTTGCTGGGCAGCAACACTTACCTCGAGGACCATGGCTGGGCTGGTGCTCTGGCTGCTGGGTGGTGTGCTGCCTGCCCCTCTGCTTTGGTGCTTGTGGTTGGAAACCTGCAGTCACAGAGGAAGTGGGAGTTTCAGGCAGTTCTCAGCAGCAGCCTCTTCCAGGGAGTTACCTCTACCAGACCTCCCTAAACCTTAGGCCGCAGAGTTTCCGTGGCTGGGTGAAGCCTTTCTGGAGGAGCTGGCCACAAGCTTGGGACCAGAAAAGCTGGGCAGAGGATGACTGGCTGGGGGCAGGTCCTTTGAGAAGAGAGGTCTGAAGAAGAACCAGTGCAGCTGAGAAGTGAAGGGCAGCCCTGCTGCCTGCACTGGTAGGGTCAGTGCTCCATAGATTGGAACTCATCTGTTCTGATCTTGAGTTGATCTTTGCATGATTGTAAAGACTGGGTAGAGAAATAAGTCTGTAGAGGAGATTCACCTTCTTAAAAATTTCAGTCAGGTGCAGTGGCTCATTCCTGTAATCCCAGCTACTGGGAAGGCTGAGGCAAGAGGATCACTTAAGGCCAAGAGTTTGAGACCAGCCTGGGCAACATAGCGAGGCTCCATCTCTACCAAAACTAAAAGAAGCCAGCCAGGCATGGTGGCATGTGCCTGTAGTCCTAACTACTTGGGAGCCTGAGACAGGAGGATTGCTTGAGCCCCGGAGTTCAAGGCTGCCTTGAGCTACAATTGTACCACTGCACTCCAGCCTGGTGACAGAGTGAGACCCTGTCTCTTAAAAAGGAATTAAAATATTTTTTAAAAAGTCATTACCCTAAATCTAGCTCTTTACCATCGCCCCTCCCTGCTAATCAATGGGGAAAAGGAAAGGGAACTACCAGTAATGAACTTGCTATGTGCTAGACATTGCTTTAGGTGCTTTCTCTGACACTGCCTTATTCCAACCATACAACTCACTTGTGAAGTGCGGGGTTATCTGCATGGATGATTCAGAAAGGGGACAGGCCTTCCCCAGACACAGCAATTAAAGGTGGGCGTGAGGATTGATCCCACGGCTGTCTGATTCTCCTTTTCCTACTCATGACACTGTCTTCAGTTTCTTTTAAGTGAATAAACTATGATATATTCATGCAGTTAAAAACAAATGAAATAAAGCTACACATTTTAACATGGATGCATCTAGAAAAGCCAACGATCACATGGTAGAAGAGGCAAGTTACAGAATGCCATGTATAGTTTGATGCCACTTACATAAACTCTAAAAACCACTGCAAAATCAATACCATGTTGTTTTGGGTAACACTCTTTGTTCTCAAAGTTTAAAACAGGGATGGGAGATACTACAAGTTCATAAAAGCAGTTGCTTCTGGGGCAAGAAGGATGGGGTTGGGGAGGAGGCCATAGGAACCTCTTGACCTTAAGGAAAAGCTGTAAGGCAGCCTTGGTACAGCACATCAGTCACTTTATGGCGGAGAGTGGTGAACAGTTCCTCTCCCCACCTGCCCTCAGCGCTCCCCTTCACCCTCTTCTCCCCTCCCTGTTGCCCTCTTCTCATTATCAGTGGGCAAGGCTACCTGTAACTTGCTTCTCCCAAGCAGTTTCCTCTTTCTATCTCTCCCCCAGTTGGAAAGCAGGGGTGGAGGGAGAGAAAGACGAGAGAAAAGAGAGAGAGAGAGAGAGAGAGAGAGAGAGAGAGAAAAGCAAATGCTAGCCCATGCTCTTGGGGCCAGTTTTCAGCCAGACTGCTCCACCAAAGCCTCCAGGCTAGGGCCTGGAATTCAATTTACACCTACTCACATGATGCATACTTGCAAGGCATCAAGGCCCTTCCCCTCCTGTGGACAGATGTGACTCTCCTTGCTCTAAAACAGCTTGTCACCTGCAGGTTCAGGCCAGAGGGAACTGAGGGCCTGGCAGAGGTCAGGAGCAGTGCCAGTGGAGCAAACAGGAAGGATTCCAGAAACCAGGCCAGTTAGGATGAGCAGGACTCGGCCAGTAGCTACCTATGGGGGTGGAAAAGGGATGGGAGCTGGGACCACAGTTTCCCAGTGCTGACCTGTGAAGAGGTTTGAGTTCCCTAGGCTTCTGCAAATGAGAAAATTGACCATGGAAAGCCACATCTGTTCCATTTAAAGGCCTGTCTTGTATTCAGCAATCATGTTATTTGTTCCCTTTTTTTTTTTTGGTATCAAAAGGGCCTTTTCTTTGTGAAATGATGGGGAAAATAGATGGTAGTTTTGGAAATATCTTGTGATGGCAGAAGTTGACAACCCAAGGTGGGTCCTCTAAATCAGCAGTCCCCAACCTTTTTGGCACCAGGGACCAGTTTCATGGAAGACAATTTTTCCATGAACTGGAGTGGGGATGGTTTCGGGATGAAACTGTTCCACCTCAGATCATCAGGCATTAGATTCTCATAAGCACTGCACAACCTAGATCCCTCCCATGCGCAGTTCACAACAGGATTTGTGCTCTGCTGATCTGACAGGAGGCAGAGCTCAGGCAGTAATGCTCCCTTGCCCTGCAGCTTACCTCCTGCTGTCCAGCCTGGTTCCTAACAGGCCACAGACCGGTATACTGGTATACTGGTCCACAGCCTGTGGGTTGGGGAGCCCTGCTCTAAATAGATGTTGAAATGTTACTGGTCCATGTGAAAGATAAAAATCCAGGCCAGGCATGGTGGCTCATGCCTGTAATCCCAGCACTTTGGGAGGCCAAGGCGGGTGGATCACCTGAGGTCGGGAGTTTGAGACCAGCCTGACCAACGTGGAGAAACTCCGTCTCTACTAAAAATACAAAAATTAGCTGGGCGTGATGGCGTATGCCCGTAATCCTAGCTACTCGGGGGGCTGAGACAGGAGAATTGCTTGAACCCAGGAGGTGGAGGTTGTGGTGAGCCAAGATCACGCCATTGCACTCCAGCCTGGGCAACAAGAGTGAAACTCCATCTCAAAAAACAAAACAAAACAAGACAAAAAATTAACCAGGCTGGCACATGCCTGTAGTCCCAGCTACTCGTGAGGCTGAGGCAGGAGAATCGCTTGAACTCAGGAGGCAGAGACTGCAGTGGGCTGAGATCGTGCTACTGTACTCCAGCCTGGGTGACAGAGTGAGACTCTGTCTCAAAAAAAAGATAAAAAGGTAACCCTGGTGTCCTCCCTGGTGTCCTTCCAGTCTCCTCACTTGTTTGTCGCGTGTCCTTCCCAGGTTTCTGGCAAGGATACATGAGAGAGAGTAGGGCAAGAGCTTTGGAAAGGGGCAGAGAGCTTTCCTTTCTGAGCTTGGACACCCTGATATCAGGGCCGTGTCCTGATAGCCCAAGCTGGGCTATGGGGCTGAGCTGTTCCTGGTGAGGCCCTGACTCCACCCTGTTCAACCTGTGTGACTTTGGACAAATTACATAGCTGAGTTGAGCCAGTTTCCTCAGCAGGGTTGTTAAAAAGATGATCTGGAATAACCAAGGCTGTAGGCTTCTAGCACAGGGCCCAGAGCTTAGTAGGAGTACAATCGAGAATGTTGAGTGAGAGAGGTGTTGGCTACAAACCCGGAGCGACCAGAAGCCTTTCATATCAAGGGAGCCAGGGATAGAGGGTGGCACTTGTGGGGCATACAGGCGTGGACTTGGCCGGAGGGCTGGTTTTCCGGAGAGGCCACCTCCTGCCTTAACTGGGAGTGGAGGGGGCCGGTGGGTTTGCCAGTCCTAGCCGAATCCTCTGGCTGCCCAGCTGTGTAATCTCAGGCAAATTATTCCATCTCTGTACCTTGGTTTCCTCATCTGAAAAATGGGTCTAAGGATAGTATACATTTGATAGGGTTGCTCTGGGGACTGCAAACGATATGTGTAGAAAGTGTCTGGGGCAGGGTAGGTGCCCAGTGAGCAGCAGTCTCCTCCTGCTCTAAGAACTTTTCAAACCGACCCCTCCCAACCTCCCAATTGCAAGTCTGTGGTGGGCTTCTGCCCTCATGTACAGCTAAGATGCCTTAGAAGGTTCCTGCGTTACGGGGCCGAGCCAAACCCTTGACCAGCTGTCTAATTTGGTTCTTTCTGGTCCCAAACAGCTCCCAGACCAGGACAGAACCAGGCCCAGCTTAGGGGAGAGCCGCCTGGCCAAGGGCCTGCAATCAGAGTTCAGGCCGGTGAGCCTCCTGCTCCAGAGCAGCTGGCGGGGAAGCCTGAGGAGGAAGTTAGTCAGAGTGAAGCTGCTCCGGGCCCCACCTGTGGTCAAGGTGTGAAATGTGCACCTGGCTCTTCTCTGCTACCCCTCCCCCTGTTTTTTTCTTTTTTTCACACCTCTGGGCTGTGGTTTGAGGAGATGAGAGGCTCAAAGGTTGAGGCCTGGGCCCAGTGCCTCACAGGAAGGAGGGCCCCTACTGCTGTCTGCCACGCCGGCCAGCCCGGGAAAAGGGCCATTTCCTCCTCCTCTCTGTCAGAGTCAGCTGCTTCACAACCTCTCTCACAGCTCCTCTGAATGCCTCTTGGAGCACTGCTCCAAAAACTCCTGGACTCGGCCGCGGGCCCCAGGCTGTTAGGGGAGCAGGCTCAGTCAGGCCTGAGGTTCCCGTGTGGCCCAGGCTGGGGCTGAGACTCTCTTACGTGAAATTAAGAAGAGTCCGAGCCCTGGGCAGGGGCGTGTATCTGCTCCAGACAGTGCTGGGACCCTGGGCTTCCTTCTCCTGGTCCTGAATTTCCCTTGAAAGATAGCTGAAGTCACAGGGAGACCTGGGGCCTGGGGCCTGCCTCTTCCTCTGCCCACATCCTGTAGCTCTAACCCCTCCTGGGAGGCAAGTCCATTTTAAGTGCTGGGGGCCATGGGCTGGGGCCTTGGGAGCCCAGGAGGTGGGACAGACAGCCCCAACCCATGAGGGTGAGTTCCCAGACGTGTGGGGACACTGCTTTTTGGGGGACTGGAGAAGGCCTCACAGGGGAGATGAAGTTTGAGCTTGGTCTGGAGGACGTTGCTGCTGTTTGTCATGTGGCAAAGGGAGATGAGGCTGTTCTCAGGCTGAGGGAACACCAGGTGCCAAGACAAGGAAGTAAGGAAGAGCTCCTCACACCAGGGGCGGTCAGACTGGTTAGAACGGAACATTCTTGTGAGGG